AAGGACACATATATTCTGTCTTAGATATGTCTAAGTATGATGCATATTAAAAACCCTCTGTTTTTATTTGTTTAAATAAAATCACCTCTTTATAATTATATTCACTTCATAGTACAGGTTGACATTTCTGTTTTCTAATTTTACTTATTTAAATATTATTATGAAACCAAGTTTATATTTATAATTTTCATTCTCTGTCAAGAATATTGTGTTTCCCAAAAGGTGATGCTTAGAACACTAATCACAAACTATAGAAATGATCCCTAAAATATACAAAGAACTCAAGAAGCTAGTTACCAAAACACCAAATAATTAAATTAAAAATTGGGGTTCAGAAGTAAACAGAGAATTCTCAAGAAAGGAATCTAAAATGGTTGAAAGGTACTTAAGAAATTGCTTGACATCCTTAGCTATCAGGAAAATGCAAATCAAAACAACTCTGAGATGCTATCTTATTCCCATCAGAATGGCTAAAATAAAAAACACCAATAATAGTATATGCTGGAGAGGATGTGGAGAAAGGGGAATGTTCCTCCATCAATAATGGGAGTGCCAACTTGTACACCTACTTTGGAAATCATTATGGCAGTTCTTCTGGAAAATGGGAACTGACCACCTAAAGATCCAGTAATTCTATTTTTAGGCCTATAAGCAAAGGATGCACATTCATAAAACAAGGGCATCTGTTCAGCTATGTTCATAGCAGCATTATTTATAGTATCCAGAAACTGGAAGCAACCTAGATTCCCCTCAACCAAAGAAGGGGTTTAGAAATTATGGTACATTTACTCAATAGAGCATTACCCAGCAGAGAAAAACAAGGGAATCTTGAAATTCACAAGCAAATGTATGGAACTAGAAGAAACCATCCTAACTGTGGTAACCCAGTCACTGAAAGACAAACAGTATGTACTCACTCATATATGGATATTAGACAGAGAGCAAAGGATTACCAGCCTACAATCCACACTTCCAGAGAAACTAGGAAACAAAGAAGATCCTAAGAGAGACTTGCATGGTCCCCCCAGAGAAGGAGAAAGGGGCAACATCTCCTGAAAAAATTGGGAGCAAAGCGGGAAAATGGGGGGAGTTAGGCAAAAGAGGAGGGGATGGAGAACATGAGGGATCAGGAAGGTTGAATGGGGAGATGAATAGAGGAGAGCAAGAAAAGAAACACATCAATAGAGAGAGCCATTGTAGGTTTAAAGAGAAATCTTGCACTAGGGAATTGTAAAGAGATGCACAAGGTAATCCCTACTAGGAATCTAAGCAATAGTGGAGGGTCTACCTTCAATGCCCTTCCCCTATAATGAGATTGAAGACTCCCTTAAATGCCATCCTAGAGCCTTCAATTAGTGGCTGATGGAAGCAAAAGCAGAGATTCCAGACTCCTGGAATCCAGTTGTCAAGAGGGAGTAGAAATGAGCAAAGGAGTCAAGACTGTGCTGGAGAAACCCACTGACCTGAGCAAGTGGGAACTCATGGACCCCAATCTGACAGATGGGGAGCTAACATAGGACCAAACCAGGTCCCCTGAATGTGAGGACTGGGCAGTCTATGGGGCCTCTGGCAGTAGAATCAGGTTTTATCTCTTTGCAAGAACAGACTTTGGGAGCCCCTTCACCATGGAGGAATAACCCCTTAGTTTAGAGGCAGGAGGGAGTGCCTAAGCCCTACTCCAAAAAACTTGACAGATTTTGATGATCCCTCATGGAAGGCCTTAGCATCCCTGGGGAGTGGATGAGGAATGGGATGGCTGGTGGGGTGGGGGTGGTCAGTGTGGGTATGGGAGCAAGGGAGGGAGAGGGAACTGGGATTGATATGTAAAAGAAGATTGTTTCTAATTTAAATATAATTAAAAAAGAACACTCATCACATTGTCTATCACTTAAGAAAGTGTTCTCTAATCAAAGAAATTTAGAAAAGGCTACATGTACTAGACAAGCAAAGAGATTAGTATATGGTAGACTAATATAATTTGTGAAAAATTTTAATGTAAATGAAAATTAAATTTTGCCTACTCAAGCATTTCCTAGCATTTTGATTCTTAAAACTAATGTTTTTCCCAATTTTTAGAGACATAATTTCACAAATTTAACAACCCTACATTGGCTCATTATCAATTTGCTGCTGAGCTTATCTGTCTCCTCTACTCATTCCAAGTCCAAATGTTTAGGATGCTCCCATTGAGAAATCAGCATTGTGAAACTTAGGGGTGCCAGGGAATTTTTTCCCAGGGCATAGAATCAAGCAGTCACTTGGATGCAAGCTGCTTTGGATAGATATTGATCCAATACAACCTGTAGTAAGCTTGGTGTTTGAGCAAAGTTTTTGAGAGCCTTAGCTATGTCCTAAATCTTTCCTGACTTGTGAGGAAAACTGGTGTGTGCCTAGCTGAGAGGCCATGGTGGTATGGCTGGAGGGGATTCAGGCAATAGTGCCATGACAATATGCCCATTGGAATGCAAGTGTTTAGTGCTTTCGCTTCTGTACTGCCAAGCCAATGTTAGCTCCACCATGATACCTACCAACACTTTCATTACATTTGCAAAACACATGATAAAACTCTGTAATTTAGGTGTGGAAATGTATTTCCATTTGCTTTTCTGTCAATTCATTGTTATAAAAGCCATAACATTTAGACCCTCTGAACTTCTGAGTATAGAAAATTGATAAATGTTGGATCTATTTTTGAGCTTTGGATAAATGAGTTGGTAGAATTCACACAAACATAATAACAGATATCTTAGAAGATCCAGCCAAATGGAGAAGAGATACAATAAGGGAAATGTGCTCAATAAGGAAGTATAAACCCTGGAAAATATTTGCAAATGTCAATATGTGCTGCTCATTTCATTACATCTTGCCATGTTAGGATACCAGTTAAATAAGCACATGCATATATGTTTCCACGTCCACATACATGCACACAGAAGCACCAAGCATGAATGTGCATATCCAAAAACTCACAGGCATTCATGCACATACCCAGGCACATGCACATGCTTGCATATAGAGGAATATATGCATGTATACAAATGTGTGTGTGCATGCACACACACGCGCACATGCACCCACCCACCCACACACACACACACACACACACACACACACACACAAGCACCTGCATACCTGCATATGCTTTGCCAGAGGAATTTTATAAAAACAATCCTTATTTGCCATATTATTATGTTTTGGTGCAGAAATTATCTTAAAAGTGTCTTCATTCCACCCAGTATACATTGTCTACCACCTTTCCAGGTCCCCATTCCAGTATTTCAATAAGATATTTACATCCCCTGTATATCTTTACTGAAGTATTATATTTTAAACTGTCACTAGATGAGACTTACTAATGTATCGACATTGACACATTTCATCTTTCTCTCACAAGTTCCCAGAGAGATTCTGTATGTTTGTTTGTTCTTGAACATGAAGTGCTCAGATAATAAATAGTAATATATATATATATGTGTGTGTGTGTGTGTGTGTGTGTGTGTGTGTATACATATTTTTTCCTGAATTTTGACAATGTAAACCTGAGTTACTCCATTACATCTCATGTTAGGATAATAGTTAAATATGAAAACACCCATATGCACTTGAATATGCATGCACACAGACAAGTATATTAGTCTATCCATCAATACTGGGTAGACTAAAACTCCTGGGATCTACCTGTCATGCTGCACCTGACTTTGCATGGGTGCTGAAGTTAATATTAGTGTTGCCCTGGTGGTGTGGCAAGCACTTGGCTGACTGAGACTCTGCCTAATGCCCAGAGTTGTCTCTCTGAATGTGAAAGAGTGAGGCAGTGTATCCATCAGTCTTCACTTTTGCTTGTTATGTCCTGGGGATGTTTGTGAGTCATCAACATCAACAATGAATTAAAATGTGATTTTTTTTCCTTTTTAAATTAAACCAACATTATTCTTAAATAAGTATTAATGTGCACAGCACATTATGCCCCTTAATATTTTGTTATTATTATTTTTGTTATTTTGTATGTGCTGTAAGGTACTTGAGAAGGCCCTGTGTGTTGCATTCCACAAATAAGCACAGAGTCTGCTCCATTTTATTAACTTCACAAATATAGGTAACACAATGAATTTCACTGTAAACTTCCTTTGTGAGAAAAGGGGAATGAGAGAAAATTATAGAGCTATGTTCTTCAGTCATGATGTTTTAAAGCTAGAGTAAAATTAAAACAACATGGAACAGAGGGACAAAACCTGGATTGAACCTTTTCATATTCCATTTATCAGCTGTTCCATTTTCATAGGTCATTTGGGAGTTATTGATCACTTTATTAGAACTTTAGTAGACCTTCATTCAAAAAAATGATTGAATCTGTTCATCAGAATTAGTGGCTTGATGATAAGTGGTTAAATACTGACAGGACTTTACAAGAACCTTAGGGCCAAGAGATGATGTTCTTCCAAGTCATACAGCTTAGGACTGGAAAAAGGCATCAGGAAGATTGTGAAAATGTACTAGTTCTGAAGACATTTTCCATTCTCTTAAATAATGAACAGAGTCCAAGACCAAATGACCTTGTAAGGAATTACTAATCCATATATTTTATGACCATGAATGAAAACATAGTTTTTAGATGAATCAGGATGCCCTGATTACACTATGTGAGAGGTAAAGCAAAAGTTTAGAAATGCTATATCTAACTAAATTGCTTTTATTTTTGTGGTTACTTCAAAGGGTGTCTTCATATCTCAATATTTTTGAGTTAATCTCATCTATTCTGCAAAGTGCATACTTTAAGGAGCATTGGAGGGATGGCGTTTTAATTTTTACCAATTCAATTAAAATGCAAATGTTAACCACTCACATGATGCTACTGTGTACATAATTAAGCATCATTATATACTGCATGAATCATTTAGAAGTCTCCGGAGAGCCATTCTACTATGTAAAACATGCATTACACTGACAAGCAGCCAAATGACGTATACTTCTGCACTCATTAAAGCATCTTTGAATTACAGGTCAACCGATTATGGGACAACTTATGAAAAGCTGAATGATAAAGTGGGGTTGAAGACAATTTTGAGCTATCTCTATGTGTGTCCGACCAACAAGCGTAAGGTAAGAAATGAATATAGCTTGCTACTGATTCATGACATGATTCCTGTCATGCTTTGACTAACCACTCTTGCTATCTAAAATCCCATTAAAGTAAAGCTGGGATAAGAGATGTAAAAATAAGCAGATGGGTTTTAAGGTAGCAACATCTCACAATTTTCCAGTTAGCAGCTGTGAAATTGAAGGGTAGAGGCCAGGTCTGTTGTTGCCATTTAAGAAAGGCAACTGCAGGGACAAGTCCCAGCATGAAGATGGTGCTGTCTGTCCTGCAAACATTTTTGGCTTGCCAGTCTCAATAGTTAGAAAAAGTTTTAGTGAAGCAAAGAGAGGTATCACCACACAAATGAGAAGCGAGCTTCCAACACACACTCTTGCTTTCCCTTGACATGGAATGTTTATGTTACCTAGAGTTTCAGGAAAAGCATGGTCCCATTCTAGTCAGGGAACTTCACATTTATAGTCTCAGGTTTCTTCAGGTTGCACACCAATCGATGTCAGTGTGCAGATATAGAATGTTGCAGAGAGGGAAGTTCATAAAGAGGTAGCTTTAATCCTCACAGATCCTAGCGGTTAAATATCTTTTTAAGATGATAAAACTGAGACTCAGGGAAAATAAATACCTCACTTTATCTCAGAGTTATAGGTGGCAGTCAACTATACAGCCCGTGCTTCCACCTGAGCAATGGTAAATGTTCTACTATATTAGTCCTGATTTTTCCTACTAAGTGGGATAATCTCTTCAGGAACCTCACTTCTCAGAAGAAGATCTCTGACTGTAAATGACCAATGTCTGGAAGGGAGAAAAATGTATTTGTTTTTATAAATTTGTATCATCACATCCCAAATCCGGTCATGTGAGTTCAGAGCATCCCAGCCTTAGGAGAACAGATAATATCTACCAGAACCCAACAGAGTGCTGCCTGCCCATCATTGTCTCCTAAACTGTTGCTGTTACCCTGACAACACTGCTGTCTAGTCTCTCGTCTCAGAGCCACCATTGGAGACTTAGCCTGTTCAGAATTTCCTGTCTCTGTTTTGTCATCCTCAACGTGAGGATGATATCAAAGTCTCTAGGTCGGTCTCAAAGGTGCCCTCCTGCTCCCACCCGTTGCCTTGGATCAGGGCTCAAGTACCTTATGATGCTACTCACATACTTCTGACATGTATGTGCTATTACAATCATCAAAGTAATGTTTTTGTTCCCTCTGGCTCCAATCATGCCAAGTTCCTCTAGTAATGGCAGCTTCAGAGATAGGCTTAGATTCTGCATTTAAGAGGCTTAAGTGAGATCCATCAAGCTCTCAACACTGAGCAGGTAACCATGGGGATTTACTTCATCTACCCAAGCACAGTGTCCTTGGACTTAAAGTGGGCATAATGAGAGGACTTGCCTCATGACTACAGTTATAAGGCATGTATGAAATTAGATGTTTCGCGTGCTCATCACAGGGCCATACAGGCTTAATCAATGTTTGCATTTCATTTTCCTTTCATACCACCATGTTCCTCCTGCTTCATAAAATTATAGGGAGTGATAGTAGTGATTATCACCTATAATTAAGAGTGTCCAGGAGAACATTCTGTGATAATCAGAATATTTTTCTAAGCTGTCTAGTGCTTTAGACACTAGCAACCTGTGGCTGGTGAATATTTTAAATGTGACTAGTTAACCGAGGAACTGAATTTTTTGCTCCATTTCACTTTAACTTATATTTACATAGCTGAATTGTCGAAGATAACAGAATCGGGCAGCACAGATGAGTGTGGGAGCTATGCCCTCCTCATTGCTTTTTGACTAGCTACGTGGCCATCATCAATAATTTCATCTAAACAATTTTGATCTGCTGTGCACAGCCCTGGGATGTGGACTGAACTTCTAGCCTTCAGTTTCATAATGAGATTTAGTTGTTTTCTGGCTTCAAATTGATTCTTATCTCCTCTATTGATTTTAGTTCTAGTTCACATTTTTAGCAAATTTAATTTAGCAATCAATAAACTGCATGCTAGGCAATAAAGTTTGAAGTGAGAGATAAGGGCAATGAGACAGCTCAGTGGATAGAGGCGCTTGCTGTCAAGCCTGACACCTGGAGCACACGTGTTGCAGGGAAGAGAGAAGCTTGTCCTGTGACATCCACACTAGGATTATGCCATAAGTGCAGCAAATAAACAAATTGGAAAAAAAAAGGCAACACCCCAAATTCCAAGATCACATACCATAGTGGTAAAAGCCAAAGTGATATCTAATTGAAAGAATGTTGAACTAAAATTCAGAAATCACAGTCTCTGGCTTAATTATATTTCTACCTGGCAGTTGATTTGGGCAAATCATTTATATTTGCAACATGTTATAGGCAACAATGGAAATTAATAGCTGAAAGCACCCTTAGAAATGATCTTTTCCAGTGATAGTTTCTTCTGAATTGATGGTATTTGAAATGGACACGATTTTAAGATTACAATGCCAAATACTGATTGCAGCAATTTCTGTAGATGCTGGCTGCATGGTGATGGTCCCCAAACCGACACTGGTTTGGGGTGCCAGATTTAGTGTGGTGCTCTGGCCCAGATGGGCTGCCGGAGACAAGAAAGCCTGAAAGGGGGTGGGGGGGGGACACAAAGAGCTATACAAAAGGCTAGTGTGAAATCCAGCCTGCCAAATGCATTCATTCCCATGGGGATGCATGCTTAACCTGTACTGACTATTCACTTTACACTAAAGATCTGCCCAGGGACTTTTAGATGTTCTGAGTTGGCACTTATGAAAGCATATTTTTAGGAAAGGGAACCTTGCTCTCCATGGCCATGAGAGAAAAGCTTCTCCAGAACTTAAGCTTCCCACATGCAGAGTTTGTCCCATGATGTTTAACTCACGATGTTCCTGAGTAAACCTAGACCAAGGTGTTCCAAGGTAAATGGAACTTTTGGAGTCATTGAGATCCTGGTAGACTTAAGACATACTGGAGGATGGTGACTGATTCCCCCACCCAGTGGTTCAAAAAAAAATCTATAAAATTGGCATAACAATGTATTTGTGCACAATTTTTCTGCTTTTGAAGAAAATTTATCACTATGAAATATATACCTTCTGATATGCAGACATTTAAACCAAAGAGATCATACCTCTGCAACACCTTAAAATGAGAATATATTTTCCCCTTAGTATGAAGTTGATGTAAAATGAGGAGGAGGAGACACAGTACATCATCAAGTGTTACTAATTATGCAGGATGAAGGTGCTCAAGCTTATTTCAGTTCAGGATTTCTGAAATTCCCCAGTGAACAGGAGAATCGGATAAAGGATGTTATTAAGTCTTTCAGCTCTCCAGTGTGCTAGCTGACAAGTCAGCTTCTCACGTCTAGATCTTCCCTTCTGTGTTTTGCATCAGTGGGAACAATTGAAATAAAGCAGAAAAATTCCACGTAGCTGTCTGTGTTCCCAGAAACCTGTTTGTCTTCACATTCTTGTGCTATTTTTAGCTGTTTGTGAGGACAAGAGCAGTTCTTTAATCGTCACGTCTCAAACAGTGGGCATCAAGCCCTTGCTTTGCAGGCAGCTTGTTAAGGACATCACTAGGAACAGAGTCCAGAATAAAAGAGACGCTATTTACACTTTAAATTGATGATCAAACACTGTCTGTTTCTTTGTTGTTTGAGATAAATTACAACAAATTTCCTTGGATATGCCTGATATATAAAATATTGTTACCACGTCATATGTTAGTCTACAATATCTTGAGTAAGAGAAACCCTGCCTCTCATTATGTTGGCTCACTCAAACATTCTTGTAGAAAGAATCCTGCACCTAGGCTCTGATATAAGGTGGTCTCAAAGGACAAGGCTGACTGGTCCCCAGTGCCAGAGGACAGACAGGGTACCTATCTGTCACTCTGTCTCTACAAGAAAGCACTTCCTCTAGTTCAAGATAAATCCCCTGTAGTCAGGGTCTGCAGAGGTCTCCAGGCTGCACATACAGTCTGCCACGAGAATGGATGATTTAACGCCTACCTGAAAGGAAGAGCTGCGGTCCAGAGGGTGATGGGAAGAGTGGATACTCATGAATAAAAGGCCACCCCAAAGCAATGTTAAAATCTCTGTCCTATTTTTAAATCTATTTTAAAATTTCTGTCCTGTGTTTATTTGTATTCTGCACAGAAAGAAAAGTTCCCTGAACTCTACCTTATCAGTGATCCTTGTCTTATTGTTCCCAACCAAGCCTGACTTCCCTCCCTCCAAGAGTACATCCTCAGAGATTAAAACTTCGCAACTACCTGGAAGTGAAAAGGGGGAGAATTTTGGTTTAGTTTGATCTTGCTGCAGTAAATTCATTTAGTTGCTATAATCTTGTGATCTCTGTACAGTGTCCCTCACAGAGACAGGGAAAAAAAAAAACCTAGACAATGTTATATTTTTATTTCTTGTGTCACTTTTACATCCTATTCCCTTTCTTTCCTGTTATCAAGTCTTAATTAATATTACGCCTGCTGGGAGATTCTTCTAAGGCTTTCACCCTATAAATAGGATCCTTGTTCTCGTGAACACATTGATCATCCTTGCTAGTCTCTTGGTACCTGCCAGCATTAAACACTGTTTGCATTTTCTCCAGATGTTTAGTTTCAACACCATGCTGCATGAGGCACTTTCTAAACTAGTGTTTGATGATTGTCTCACCGAGTCTTCCCCGCTCCCTGCACCCTGTCTGCCAGGGCCTGTTTAGTTATATGTATCATTTGTTTATATATGGTTTACATGCCATGTATGGCTTGGGGGTCAGGAGATAGGTGTGATTGGTGAGATCTCCAAATTTTTGTTAAACATATCTGTCATTGAACCAGATCTTAAAAGAAGGTGATTTCTAAACACTACTCATTTATTTAGTGGCTAAAAAAAAAAAAAAAAAAAAAAAAAAAAAAAAAAAAAGCAATTTCTAATAAACAGTTTAGAAACTTACTTGCATCAGGAAAAAGAAAAGCAGAGATTCAGAGACCTTGAAAGAAGACTCATCA